GTAGTAAGCCGTGAACTGGAGAGCGGAGGCAAAGTAAGAGGTGGAGCAAACCTAGGAGTTAGCCCGCCTGAAAGCGACTGTGGCGAAAGCTATTCATTGAAAGGGTAACTGGAAAGTTCCATTTTAGGACCATATCGGCTCAATCAACGCAAGATTAAGAGGCAGCTTTAGTCTGACGAGCTGGGAGCCTACGTGAATGACGGCTTTGTGGCATACCTGTAAAGAGCAATGACGAAGAAAAGAAAACACTCATTTTGCCGAGCGTTGGACGTTCCAGGAGCTCTTAAGACAAGGGATGTTTTAGACGTATGAATAGAGAACGCTTTGAACTTCCCGATTCGAGGCCACGCTCGTCACCAACTACACAGAAGGTGACAAGAATTCACCGTGGCCCCATGTCAAGCTTAAGTATAGTCTGCTTGGTTGTGTCGCCTCAGATTGGAGAAGAGGCGAATTTCCAACTTAGATGCTCATCGTATCATGCAAACACTAATTTGTCTTTCCTTTTTGCTCGCACGACACACCATCGGTACCAGTGATGCTCGCAGTAGAACAAGCGAGCGCGGCTCCCCGCTCTCGTGGTCGGCCTCCCAACTACCAAGAGCGCGCCCCTTAAGCATCGCGACGACCTAGATGACGCAGCATGCCCTCCGCGCCTTCATCTGCGCCGTCGGAACCCAACCCAGAGCCGGAACATCCTACACTCACAACGAAGCCACCAGCTGACCCTCCTGATGTGCGCCATTGGCCGCAAGCTTACTCGAAGTGTCCTGTTTTTCGCGTTCCCTACAAAGCCGCAGCAAACCAACCAGGCGAAGCTCTGCAAATCGAGTTTTGTAATCGCCAATTTGCCTTTCGCTACGTAGAGCCTTACCTGCACATCCGCGTTCTTGGACTGTGGCGCATCTGCGTCCCACAATTCCCTGCGTTCCTTACTCACGTTCTGCATTCGCATCACGACCATGTCACAGCCGGCCATCGAGGCCAGAAGAAGACCTTTGCGGCTCTCAGCAAGCACTACTACTGGCCAGGAATGCTTGCCTACACTACTGCTTATGTTGAGTCATGCACTCACTGTCGAGCGTCAAAGTCTCTTAACCAGAAGCCTGCAGGCCTTCTTCAACAGTTGCTCATCCCTTCTCGTCGATGGGCGCACGTGAGTCTCGACTTTATCACAGATCTTCCCCTTACAACGGCAGGGCACGACTCGATCCTTGTCATGGCCGACTCCCTCAGCAAGATGGCTCATTTCGTTCTTGCAAAGAAGTCATTCAGAACAGCAGACACCGTGGAGCTTCTTGCAGACCGTCTTATCTGCTGTCACGGCTTTCCACAGGTGCTCATATCGGACCGCGACCCCCGTTTCCAGTCGGATCTTTGGAACCAGCTCTGCCGCCGCTTTAACATCAAACGGTGCATGTCGACGGCTAAACTGAACGGGTGAACCGCACACTGGAGCAGATGCTTCGTACCTATATCAAATCTGACGAATGCGAATGGCAGCGTTTGCTTTCGGCCTTGGAACTTGCTTACAACACAGCAGGTCATTCCTCCACCGAGCTCTCTCCCTTCGAGGTCATGATTGACGAGAATCTGCTGGCTGCTGCGGACCTTGATATCGTAGGCGCGTTAGCTTCTACGCTCACTCCTCCGATGACTAAGCTTTTCCGGCAGCTCTGCGACAGGGCACAGAGTCACATTCTGAAAGCAAAATGGCAGCAGAAGTACTACGCAGACACAAAGCGTCGAGCAGTGGAGTACGCGGTGGGCGACAAGGTCTGGCTCAGCAGCTTCGT